CTTGTATCCAGGGCAGGGTACAGTGATCCCCTGTTTTTTTCTCTCTCGTAGAGGTCCACTGTCTTTGTCTGGTCCCTCATCCAGGACCAATTTGCCTTGGGGGTCCTTGCCTACGACACATAGCCCCTGCGATCACTGTGGCACACAAGTGTGGTGGGAACGTCTGGTCCCAGTTGGTGGTTTGATTAGCCTGTGGGACTTTGGAAGCGCCTGACGGGCAGGCCAAGTGGAACACAGTTCGGGTGGTAGCTATGAAATCGTGTTGTAGTTATGGCCATGAAACAAGACCTTTAGTCTGCCTCAAAGCAATTCTGACAAGTGATCAGGTGACTCAGGAGAGGAAAGCGGTGCTCTACTCACATGGTGCATAGTGGGGTTGCTGACTTCAACTGAGCACGTAGTTGAGTGGTGGAAGGAATACTTTGTGGACCTCCTTAATCCCACTGACATGTCTTCTAAATAGTGCTGTCAGCATTAATCTCGTTAAAATGACGCTAATGATTTCCCGCGTTCATGCGGTTATGGCATTAACGTAATTTTAACGAGATTAACGCTGACAGGGTTACTTCTAAATAGAAAGCAGAGCCCAGGGACAAGAGGGACGATTCGCCCATCTCTAGTGGTGAAGTCACTGAGGTAGTTAAACAGCTCTTTGGTGGTCAGGTCCCTGTTTTGGATGAGGTTTGTTTTGAGTTCCTAAAGACCCCGTGTGTTGTCAAACCACTACAACATCATGTAGAGATTTGGGGCCTCTAGACTGGCAGACTGGGGTGGTGGTCCCCATCTTTAAGAAGGGGGACCAGAGGTTATGCTCCAACTACAGGGGGATCACAGTTTAAGTAACTCAGGGCGTTGGGAGAAGGGAGCGGGAGATTAACAAATGGATTGGGGGCATGGCTGCATCGATCTGTTGTGGTAAAGAGAGAGCTGAGTATTAAAATGAGGCTCTCAATTTGTGGTCAAATGGTAAATGGTCTGTATTTGTATAGTGCTTTACTTGGTCCTAAGGACCCCAAAGCGCTTTACACAACCAGTCATCCACCCATCCACACACACATTCACACACTGGTGATGGCAGCTACAGTGTAGCCACAGCCGCCCTGGGGCGCACTGACAGAGGCGGTCTCTACGCCTGTCCTGTGAGGCTGATGGAGTCCTCGGCGTTCAGCTCTCACACTGACCATTAACTACACATCTACTCATAGAGATACAGAAAGTGGTTTAAGGGTGGTGTAGTACGGTGGCCCTGAGGTGATAAAGAACACTTCCCTTCCTGGAAAACGATGGATCACATTCGCGGTTTCGCGTGTGTCCAGTTCCCGGTGTGAAGGATAAACTGAGAGCAGCAGATCAGAACCAGCGAACGCCGTGACGTTATGATGTGTTCGTTTTCAGCGTGTTTACATTTTAAACAAGTGTTTCGGTTTTATGAGCATCGTTGACTTTTGTAAATGATCAGAATAAAGACTTAAAATAATATACAGAATACTCCTAAAAATACACTTAGTATATGTCTCAGTGTGTGTGTGTCTATATAAATGGAGAGTCCTCTTCACACGCTGAGGTTGATTGTGGAGTTCCACAGGGTTCAGTGCTGGGACCACTTCTGTTTACATTATACACCCTTAGAGCAGGGTCTCAAACTCGCGGCCCGCGGGCCACTAGCGGCCGTATATTGATGTGAAGAAATACGCTGCAGTCTGGTCCTTGATGTTTGGGAGGGTTGTTTGTTGAGTGCAGTTAAAATAAGTTCTTAAACAATGATTCAGTGTGAAGACAACATGAGCAGAGAGCACGTGTGCTCTGTGAGCAGATGTGCACAGATGTGCAGGTCAGCTGCTTCTGTGTTTGTAACAAGTAAATTTTTTAGAGTTTTTACTTTGTTCGGTTTGATCTGAGTAACGTCATCACGGATGCCGGTGACCGTGCCGTGATGTGCGCGCGGTAAGGTTAAACCTTCAGGGTCGTGGAGGCTGAAGCTCTGCGGTCACAGGAGTCACTGCCGCCGTGGATTCTGGGAGTTGGAGGAAGAAATGAAAGTGTAATATTAAGGGAGGAGGAGGGCTAACAGCGGCGGATTTTCGCCCCACAGGGGGTGAATGAGGCCACGCGTGGGGAATTCACAAAAAACTCAGTGCGGAACTTACCGCAGCCACAGAGCGACGAGGAGCTGGAGGAGGTGACGTAGGGCCGTGTGAGTGACGTCAGTCCCTGTGTGTCTCGGGGTGTGTTTGTTTGTGAGAGGAAGAGGCCGGTTGGATGTTGGGCGGGGTCTGAGGAGAGAGGGAGAGAGAGAGGGAAGCGGAGAAAACCGAAAAACCTCCCGATCCTCCTCCTGCTGCTCCTGCTGCACACAGACAAAAGGACACCGGGACGACACACACGCACAGACTCGCACCCACACACACAGACGGCCAGAGCGCGGCACAGACGGACGGACACCCGGGAGGATGGGCCGGCGGAGCGGTCGTCGGTAGCGCTCTGATTTCGGGGACGGAGCTCCAGGATGAGCGTAGCGCTGCAGGACCTCCGGAACACCGTGAGTACGCACACACACACAGCGCGCCCGGACGCGTGACACTCGCAGCCCACGCGTGTTCTCTGTGATGCTGATCACCTGTCAGTCACTGTCGTCGGTGTGTGTGCACGCGTGCGTGCGCGTGAGCAGGAACACTGGCAGGCCTGAAATCAGGGCTGACCTGACAGTGACGTCACGGATCAAACAGCCTGATCAGAAATGAGTGTGACGCAACAGGTTTGTAAACACACACACACACACACACACACACACACACACTCTGATCCCAATGGTGTAGGTTTGTTTATAACCACAGAAGAAGAACAGACAAAAACACTCTTCTTCTTCTCCTCACCTCGCGGAGCTGAGGTGGACAGTTAGCTTGTGGCTGCAGGTAAATCTGCTCCTGCACACTTTGATAGTAAAGATGGAGCTGCATGACACCACCCACTGGTCTCTGGTGTTTTGGCCATGGCTGTGTTGGTTTTCATGGTGCCAGAAGTGACCATATTTGGATAAGACCGTATTGGAGCATCTCACACACACACACACACACACACACACACATCGATACCTGTAACTCAGTAGCACACAGTATTCCAGGGACTCCTGTTACCCAGGGTGAAGCCCAGCAGCTACCTGTATCACCAAGCAGCTGTCAAAGAGGCCACGCCCTTCTTAACGTAGAGTTTAAACATTAACTTCGCCCTGTACAGGTGTTACGAAGCAGGACATTAACTGTACAGACCAAAATCAGTTTTCTCTGGAATAAAGTGAAGCGAGTGTACAGCAGGCCGCCTGCTCCCAGAGGACACCGCTCTGTTATCTGTGCTGCTGGGTTTGCGTGGGTGACTGGGGTCTGCTGGCAGGATGCAAAGATAAGTCAGTGTCATCAGGGTGTGGGTGGAAGTGGGAGCAGCTGCACATAAATAAAACAACTAAGAGTCAGAGGTCCTCATCGGGTGCCTTGTGGTACTCCAGATCTGATACTCACCTTTGCAGTGATGTGATTTGTCAGGAACGCAGACACACATGTGCGGATGTGAGGATATCTGAGGTGTGAGTCTGTTTGAGGTGTTGTGCTTTAACTGTGTGTAAAACCAGCAGCTGCTGTCTGACAGTGATTTAGCTTCTTATTAGCTATTTAACAATGTGTCTGCATCGTGTGACCCACGGCGGGCTCGCAGGACTCGCACAACAGGAAGTTTTGGGCTGGACCTTAAATACCCAGCAGTGCTGTGATGACAGCTGAGCCCTGCACAGGTACGAGCAGCAGCCATTCTGATGCTGACTGCTTCAGACAGTAACCGATACACTGGTCGAGGAGTCACACGCTGAGAGACCTGAGCCGAGAGAGCCGAACACCAAACAAGCTGAGCCCCTGAAAGTGACTCCCTGCAGTGTGACGCAAACAGGAACACTTTGTTTTGCAGCTCTGCGAGTTTGCACTCTGCAGTTTGTCTCACAGAGAATGAACACGTGAGCTGTATCTGCATTCATGAATGCAACGTATCGATAGTTTCCTGGAATTAAAAGATTATTATTCAGCTTAATTGAGTTTAAATGGCCGAGTTCCTGGAAGGAAAATCTCTCCCGGAAGTGTTTAACAAAGTTTAGAGGAAGTTGTGGAAAGTCTGGAAAACAAAGCATCGCTTGTTGGCCGTCCGGTTTGGCGACTGCAAGGATCTCAGACTGAAATAGGCTGATGCACAGACTGGCTGAGGGGCGAGCTCAGGGGAAGAAAGCCCTCAGTGGTTTTTATTGAGGTCACTTTTCCACTGCAGATTCACTTGGAGTGGAAAAGTTCATGAAGAGATGATAGCAACTAAATACAGGTCTGTGCAGACCCCACAATTATACCTACAGAGCAGGTGATTGGACGTCAGAGAACGTTGTACTGGACATGTGATGTCAGAGGTCCTGACCTCTGTGTGTGTGTGTGTGTCTGTGTGTGTGTGTGTGTGTGTGTCTGCATTAAGGTACAGATGTTTAAGACTGCTCTGTGTGTCGGGGTCCCGCCCGGTGTAATCAGCCTCTGTATTTACCGAGGGCGTTTCCAGGTTTGGTTTGCTCCGCCCTCCTTCTGTGGGTACTATTTGGTCTGTGGGACCTTTTGTCCCCGTTCACTCTGTTATCCCCACAAATCGGTGTGTGGAGAAGCAAAGGCTGAAGCGCCATCTGATAAAACAAGATCCACGTGTGTCATTCTCACAGTGCAGCTGCACAAACACACACCAGCACCATTAAACCTTCATTCCACTCGGAGAGAGTTTTTATCCACTTTCTTTGGTTGTTTGGTGTGTGTGTGTGTGTGTGTGTGTGTGTGTGTGTGTGTGTGTGTGTGTGTGTGTGTGTGTGTGTGTGTGTGTGGACGCCACACAATCCTGGTGTGACTTTTGAAAATCTGAACACTAAATGTCTTATAAAAGTTCAACCGACAGGTCAGAAACACCAATCTGCTCTCTGCACCCTGACACACACAGCACAACACAACGCACACACACACAACACAAACTCAAACACACCACAGCACACACACAACAAACCACCACACGTTCGCATCAAACTGGTGTGACTTTATAAACTGAACACTAAAGCTGCCTCGTGACCTTTACCACCTGCAGGTCATCACTACGGCAACCACCTCCCATCCCAGAGGGCACATCATCACTCACAGTGACTCCTCATTGACCCCTGACCCTCCTCCACCCTCCTCCACCCTCCGTCAAACCTCCACCCAGTTCCAAGCCTATATCTCTGCCCAGTAAACTCCACCTGCTCTGCAAAACTCAGATTTAAGAAACTGTGACGGAGCGCTCAGGATCCATCAGTTAATGGAGAAGAAGTCTCAGCTCCAGTCATTAGGCTGATGAAGACGAGGGTGGGGAGGACGATAGAGACCGGTTATTAGCAGAAATGGACGGGAAATATTCTGCTGCCAGCTGGAAATGATGATGATGGAAATCTGATTTTCAGGGTTTCACAGCTGAGGAACAGGAGCAGGCGGCGG